ACACACAAGTTATAACAGAAATATTTTCTAACCAAAAACATTTAAGAAATATAGACCATACATAGTATAGATTATTTCACCGGTAACTTCTGTGGAGGGTACTATGTTGTCAAATTTAGTGCCACCTCATGGCCTTTTATTGACATGTTATAAAACAATTACAAAATGAGATAGATGAAGAGAGCATAGTTTGGAAGAGCATACTACGCGGACGGAGTCGCAGGCGAGAGTTAGCATACTGATATTTTCTTTTAACCATTCCAGGTAAGCTTGAAAAAGTTTATGCTGGGTTATGATATTCAATAGTCGAATGGCGGGATTCGAACCCTCGACCTCAAGATCGGTAGTCTGTACCCCAAACCATTAGGCTATTGGCGCTTAATTACGTCAGATGTAAATGACTTACATTTAAATTTTCAATTCCTCGGATTCTTTCCACATATTAGATCACAATTACTTTCGTTATTGCATACTTCTCTAACCCTGTTAATTTGCTGTAGTTTTTGTGCAAAAAAAGTGTTTTAATTATAGTAAATTCATTGGATATTGTAAAATAAATACAGGAAAAACTCAACGGAGTAAAACTCAAGTTTCATGGTTCGGAAACGCATATAAAGTTATCGAACCAAATAACTAACGGACAACGTAACGGGAAACCGGACAGACAGACAGATAGCTGAAATAAAGGGCATTCTCACCGTAATCTCGGCTGCAATACTTGTTGAGATTTAGCGTGCGAGCGCCGGCGCGGCACCGGCCGCACTGCTCCGCTGCTGCACAATACATACATACACATTCATCAATATACATACAAAGAAACTGACATTAATAATCCTATTAAAACCGAAGAATTGACAACAAAACATTAAATAAATTTTAAAGACAAATGCAAATGCAAATCAGAAAGTTACTTAACATCGAGCTAAAACATGCATAGCTAAGAAACTAAGTTACCTGAATCACTTGCAAATTTTAAACAGAAAACAACAATTATATGAGTTTTGATATGTTGATGGAATTAAAAAAAGCCTGGAAAGAAAATCTTGTTTTAAAACATCTAAACATCGACTAAATAATTGTGCAAATAAATTTGTAAGAAGTGATAGTACCTTTTAGTCCCGTGAAGAATCTTAAAAACAAGATTGTAAAGAGATAATGTAGGTTAGATTACTGTAACATCAAATACTGTCAAGTTAGAACACTAGAATGCTTTAAAAGTGTCTGTTTACGTTTAAACATATTTCATGATTTAATTAAATGAAATTTTAACAATTGAATAACATTAATAAATGCGGGTAAAACTTGTATTGATTTATTTTATTTTGAATTTAATTTATATTAAATTTTACTAAGTAAAGAATCGCATTGAAATTAATTTTGGCAAGGTAGAATCACTTCGTTGGCGAGCACTCGTTCACACACAATAGATTAATTTTATAAAGCTACAAGATTATCAACAAAAGTCACAATATACTCATTTACAAGTACAATGTAAAAAGTTAGCGTATCTAGTATTGAAATCATCTGTACTAATATTATGAAGAGGAAAGATTTATATTTTTGTATTCTAATAACTCAAAAACTACTGAGCCGATTTTAAAAATTCTTTAGGCTTTTTTAAAAACATAGGCTATTTTTTATTAAATTTCACGAGGACGAAGACGCGAGCAACAATTACTCTATACCAGTATTATAAAGATAGAAGATTTGTTTTTTGTATTGGAATAACTCAAAAACTACTGAGCCGATTTCAAAAATCCTTTCACCGTTAGAAAGGTAATTTATCTGTGAGTAACATAGGCTATATTTTTTAATTTCACGCGTACTTAGTCAAGAGTCAACTTTGTCAAGTGTGTGCCGGTGTGAAGGAGTGCTCGTGCATGCGGTGTGATGAGGCGAGTGCAGAAGTTCCACTTACTACTTACCGCGGCCCGGCTCCGCGTCCACCGCCTCCATCGCCTGCACCGCCGTCACCACTCGCGGGATACCTGTACACAGTAAGGTTCTCTAAAACCTAGAAGTACGCTGTTAAACACTCCTACTGGACAATATCCATCCCCCAAAGCCTACAAACACGATGTTAAACATACAGCCTTAAATATAAATGAGGTAAAAAATTAAACTGAGTATAAGCAAATATTAGTACAAATTTTGTTTATACTCAGTTTATTCTTAAGTTTAACTTTATACCGCGTTGATTTGTAAGGCTGTTAGTGACAATTTAATCACAATAAATACCACAGTGAGTAGATCTTTTTGGTTTGTTTTCAGTTGCATCTCATTATTCGTGAGGTCAAGAGATGGCGCTAGTTGTAATTTACAACGCGCTAGTGGTCTTCTTTCAAATAAATCCACATATGATTGTTTTTTTTTTGTAGTTAATTAATTTATTGAGTTAATCTGTTGGAGTTAAATGTCAATAAGACCTGTGAGTAATTGTAAATTTAGTGAATTCCTAAAAACTACTGTTAAAGGAACATTTAAGTGTACATTATCTTTGAAAGAACAGAGAAAAGTCAACTGAGTATTAAGTTTCGAGGTAAAGAGAGATTTGTATTTTTGCATGTAATGACTCAAAAACTACTGGACCAATCTTAAAAAATCCTTCACTATTAAAAAGTGATTTGGTTAATTTTGTCTATGTTGACTTACGTATGCAGGGCGCGATGTGGCTACGAGATTGCTGGTAGCCCTTGGCGCAGCGGTTGCAGGTTGTGCCGGTGACGCCGTCCTTGCAGGGACACTGCCCGCTTGTCTGGTTGCATGTTTTGCCACTTGCACCCACCGGGTGACAATCACACGCTACACGAATGTAAAATTGTTAATTAGATAGGAAGGACAGTAATGCAGTACCCCGAAACGTTTATTAACGATTGTCGATTGTTTCGCAGCCAATTCAACTGTTTCGTTGCACAACTAAACATCCAGTAGTGTACCTCCATATAAACTCATAGGAATCAAAGCGGGAAACAGTCGTGCGATAGTTTAGTCAAAGGTGTACGAGCTCTAAGTTAGTGGTAATAAGGCCTTAGTTAACCACGATAACCCACTGAAGATTCTTCTTCAGTAGGTTCACTTCACAATTCTTGAATTTCTGTTCAGATATATGCAGTTTGTATCATGATGTATTACATTAAGAACGTCGGGTAACGTACACATGGAAATATAACAACACATTGGTATTGACCGGATTCGAACCCACGAACTGCAAATCATGAGCTTAACCTTTGAGTTACTGGGATTCTAATAAATACTAATAATAATAATTCTAAGTTAATAAATAGTATTTAAGCGGCTGAAGATGGTGAACATATACCAACGCAACAGTATAGTTCATTTAAAACAATTCGGCTAACAAAGCAATCTCATTTTATGGTCGAAGCAAAATCGAAATGACTTGGGAAAAATCAATTACGCTTTTTACGTTTTCCGGACAAATTGAGGCGTAGACTACTAGCTTTCAGTAGCCCAGGGAGGCTATAAAGTCGAAAAAAATAAACTACGCGAAATATCCACAGTCCATTTGTTGCGGTCGGGTCCGAAAGTAGTTTTCCCATAAAAATGTTAGCGCAGGCGTGCGATGGGCCCCCGGGGACAGGAGGGGCTTTATGGGGAAGGGACCAGTTCTGCTGACGGGGAATTGATGAACTTACACTTTTAGATGGTCGTGAAGGTGAAGATGTTTCTTAAGGTACGGTTTCACTGGGAATTTTTAAATTTTGTGGATTACTCTGTATTAAGAAACTAGCTTTCGCCCGCGGCTCCGTCTGCGTGTAATAGAAAAAAACAAAAGTGAATAGTTTATGTGTTCTTCCAGACTATCCTCTACATTTCTACCAAATTTCATCGAAATCCGTTCAGTCGTTTTGGCTACAAACTCTAACAAACATCCGTTCATCCATCCATCCATCTAAACTTTCGCATTTATAATATTAAAATGAATAGTATGATAAAAAAAATTACAAAGGAAATTACTAGAATTATAATCATTGATTCATACTTTTGATCATTTAATTTTGGGTGGTAATATTATTGAAGTAAAGTTGTTTTAGAAAATTCATTAATTTTATTTTTTCTTATTCATTTGATCAATTAATGTTATCTAAGAACGACATTAAAGATAAAAGTTTTAACTTTTTTTGTATTAATGCAGTTAAAACACAAAAAACATCAGTGCAAAAACTTTTAAAAATCCAATCCAACCGATACCAACTTTAGGTGCTATAAAAGGCGAGGTAATTCGGTAAGGTTGGACCTCTGAGGTCCATTACCCTTCCGGAAAGTGCGTGCAATCTGCCCCCGACCCTACCGCAAGATAGACTTACGAGAAACTTGCGGCGACCGCCCGGTCGGGGCTCGTTACAATAATTGAGTTTTCGGGATCGCCAACCCTATTGTGAGGTTGAGAATAGCTGATGTTATGTTTGATAGTTATTATTTCGTTGTTTGGTCCAAGTTTTATTTAACAATAAAAATATTATAAAGAGGGAAGATATGTATTTTTGGATTTTAGTATTTTTGTATGTATTGAAATAACTCAAAAACTACTGAGCCGATTTTAAATATTTTTTCACCGTTAGAAAGGTAATTTATCTGTGAGTGACATATGCTATATTTTTTATTATTTTTTGATACCACGCGAGCGAAGTCGCGAGGTACAGCTCGTATAACAATAAATTGTTAGACAGTTTTGTTTATTTGATTTACGTATTTTGTTTTATATTAGTGTTCATCTATATTTTTTATTGAAGTTTTGAAATTTTTGAAATTAATAACTTTACTTTAAAATTTTATGTTTAATGTCAACACAATTTAAAAGTAAAAATTGATGTTTCATTGTAGTTAAATATTATAAGCGTGCCTTAGACTAAACTATCGCACAACTGTTTGGTCTCGCTTTGATTCCTATGAGCTTCTTTACAGAATCAGGCACATTTTCAAAAAATAAATCTATCAAGAAAAGTTTGTCCAATCGTGATTCTGTTCCACGAGCCTTTAGTTAAAGGACTGAAGTTACACATACTAAAATATCACCAATCAAATCTTTGTAGAAATCCTGTTCTATGCCTCCAAAGATGCGCAATTTGCCGTAACCCCGCCTTAATTGTGCAACTAAACAGTTGAATTGGCTGCGAAACAATTGACAATCGCACAATAGTTCTTTTAATGAATTTTAAAAATACGGTAACGTTATTTAAGGTTGAATCAGAAATTGTCAAGTTTTAACGTAACGTTTGAACTATTTATCTGTTGTCAAAGTTAAACAAATGTCGTCTGCATTGTACAAGAGAGGTACACTCCCTCCCTCAAGCTATAAAAACTTCAACTGATTTATATATCGGTACATTTTAAATAAAGGCGACTGCACACTGTTTACTTTCACGTCTCACAGGTGAATAACATTTTTTATGACGCGTCTTTTATTTATTTTATCTGTACCCAGCAGCACTACTTTTATCGTCAAAGTTACAAGAATTATATTTATTTTTGACTTACCCTTTTACGGTGTCAATAAAATGTTGTTTAATACGCCTTAAAGTTATTCAATTACATTTTGTTGTAAATAAATTGGAGGCTGGTAAAAAACGGTACTTTTATTACGTAAAACTGTTTTAACACCTAAAAATGTTTTTACCTTTTATGGTAATTTTTGTCGAATAATACTGTTTTTAATAAGAACCCGGTAACCAACAAAAATGCAAAACATTAACGACCTTTGAACATTTTATTGCACGAACTGAATTAAAAATATATTTCTCAAGCTAAAATAGCTTATTACGTGATTTTCACTTTGCCAGTAAAATTGGACTGTGCGTAGACTAGACATGAATTGTATAGACTCACTGGCGTTAGGTAATGTCCACACTATTACAGTGGAATAAGCCAGTTCTGCGTTTTTAGCCAAGTGTGAACAGTGCATAATTCAAATTCGTATTGGGTGTTTCTGTCGCAATATTAAAAATCACAACATACGCACTTAGATGAGTTAGCATGAGTCGAACATAGTATTAACAAATAGAGACTGAAGGCCTAATTATAGTCCCTTTTCCACTCAAGGTTGGTTCCAGCTTTGGCGCCAGGGGGCGGGGGTCACATAGTCGAGGTCAAGCTTGACAAAATAAGTAAATATATTTTGTCAAGCACTTGACCAACCAGCTCATGGAGGGTAATGACCCCTTGGAGCCGTCGTTGTTTCCACTTAAGACTAAAGGATGGGAAGGAAATGGATTTGACGGAGGAGACGCGTACGTAGGGAAAATATCCTGTTATGTGTGTTTCCTCAATTAAGGGTAGGCAACGCATCTATGGACAGTGGCTTTTCGAAGAATTGAGATGGCCGTTTGCTCGTTTGCAACCTTAATACAAAAAGTGGTACTCACGTTTGCAGGCCTTTTTGTGTGTGATTGGTTTAGCGGGGTCGCGGTAATACCCTTCGCGGCAGTAGTGGCAGTGTCTGCCGGCGGTGTAGTGCCGACACTTGAGGCACACGCCGCCGCTCGCGCGACCCGACAGCTTGTACAGCTCCATGTTGAAGCGGCAACGACGCGCGTGCCCGTTGCAGTTGCATTCTATAAAGAAACGGACAAACTTACCAAACATTTACTTAATAAGATAAATGATTTCCTAAAATTGCATTATGTAGTAAAATAGAGCATTGGTGGCTCAGGCGTAAAGCACTTTGTAATTTGCAGGTCCTGGGTTCGAATCCCGCAATGTACCAATGTAGTTTTCGAATTGCATATGTACATTTAACTATATGATGTTACTTTATTATATAAAATTAGTATATTTTTGTTAATTTGACAATATTACAACTAAGTTCTAGGCTTGTGCTAGGATATTGTTTACGAAAACAGTCGAATGGCGGGATTCGTACCCTCAACCGTAAGGTCGGTAGGCCGTACCACAAACCTTTAGACTATTGGCGCTTAAATTTTATTATTACAGTATTATTACGCTTAATACGGTGAAGTTTAAGGTTTGATAATGTGAAAAGGTAGGCATAACAAATTGTGAATGAAATTATACAAAACCGTTACGGAGTTAACAATACGACCTGTCGGCGCGCCGGCTCGCATAAAACTGTCAGCGTATGATCTGTTTTAATGTATTCCATATCACTGCCGCCAGATGGCGCTCACCAGTCCCTTTGTAGTTTGCATCAACATTCGTTACGATTGATTTATAACGTAGGAGAATTATAATTTACAGTGTTTTCTTTATGATTTCGAATGTGTTATTAGAATTAGTTGATTTATAAAAAACACTAGGTGTTCCCTGGCTTCGTCTACAGGCATTTTCATCTTAGCACAGTAATCTCAATTTCTACCTTTTTATCTCTTTTCGTTTCCATATGCCTCTATATACATGTGTTACCCGAAGTGTGGCGTTGTAGAGTTTTTTTTTTAAATACTTATTGTAAAATTTACTATGATCGTTGATATTCTACATAACTAAGTACTGTGTGTTACCCTTTTTTATCTATCATCAAAATCACCAGCTCACTATACGTTCCCAACGGGCTCGGAGCCTACCCTAAGTAAGGGGTGACTAGGCCATAGTCAACCACGCTCGCCCACTGTGGGTTGGTTGACTTGACACATATCTTTTGAATTTCTTCGCCGATATGTGCAGGCATCACGATGTTTTCCTTCACCGTAAGAACGGGTAAATTCGGGTAATTTATGTACATATGAAAATTCGAAAATCACATTGTTACATCGCGGGATTCGAACCCAAGACCTGTATATTACAAGTCAAGTGTTCAAACCACTGAGCCACAGACGCTCGTTTTTTATCTTTACTAATTCATTAATTATTAATATTATAAAAAGAAACGATTTGCATTCTGGATTTTTGTTTGTATTGAAATAACTCAAAAACTACTGGACCGATTTTAAACAATCATGCACTATTAAAAAGCTTTGTTATCACTGAGTAAAATGGACTATACTTTTAGTATTTTATTTAATTTCACGCGGGCCAAATCGCGAGCAACAGCTAGTATTAATATAAAAGTCTAAATAAACATAGATAGGTTATACGTAAGCATAGATGTAGGTAGTCGTGTCTATTGATTTATTACTCAATGCCATGTTTAGCTTTTAAATGCTATTTGTGTTTAGCACCGTTATATGTGTATATTTACTGCTATGTTTTATTGCTAAATAAAGTGTTAGAGAACTCACTAGAAGCTAGAGTTAAAGGGACATCTTTACTAGTTACTTAAATGCTAATTTTAATAAGTCGATATGTAAATTAGACTTGGTTAGTTCCACTTTAAAACTCTTCGCTGACTAAGAGAGAGCGCACACCATGGACAAACTATCGCACAATCGTTGCGCGATAGTCGAATGTTTCGCAGCCAATTCACAGTGGTAGTGCCCGCTTTAACATCTTAGCACTGCAGGGCCGGCACGCCCCCAGTAATACCACGACCACACAGAAGACAAGCGTGAAATGTAAGCAATTCCGTGTTTCGTCTGGTGAGTGTGGTGCCGGAGGCCTAATTTAACTCCCTTTCTCTTTACCGCCCTCTTCTTTTAACGAGAGGATTTGACGCAGGAGGAGATGCATAGGAAGGGCAAACATCCTCTTTATGTGCGTCTCCTCCTATGTCGAATAAGGGTAGGCAACGCATCTGCAATTGCAGATGTCTATGGGAAGCGGTCGCTTGCTCGTTTGCCACTTTGTTATAAAAAAAATCAACTGTTTAGTTGCATAACTAAAAGACAAGTAACTAGTGTATAACCTAAGCGAGAAACAGTTGTACAATATTTTACTTTCAGGTGGGCGTACGCTTTAAGAAAACATTTAAATCTATACAGAGTCGTATTCAGTGGCCATTATTAATAAATTCTCCGCCTGTAAAATTAATTTAGTTTCAAAATTTTGTAAACTCAATCAATAAGCAATCAGACTACCAAAAGAAAATCCCTAAATATTTCAAGCCACGTTTCCAATTCAATCGACGTTAGCGAATCAGTATTCAAAGTTGTAGGCGGGGAAAGCTCCGTCTAAGCCTTTGTTACGTAGCGCGTGTGCTACGCTTTTGAAAGTTTGTTAAAATTACTTGAGCTTTATGGATTTATAAATTAAAGACATTTTAATATTAAAAAATAACTATAACTTAACTTTGAATCGTTAATTAAATAGTAAGAGACACCGTTAATCTGTTTACATACTTAAACACCTTAAGTGTCGGACTTAATGACTCTGTGTAGTACACAAGTCATTCAAGAAATATAGACGAGAACAAAATGGTCTTTAGACATTCAAAATGATTAGTAGACTACACAGCTGTTCGTATAGTATACGTAGATTTAAAATATTTTGCAAATTATAACCTGTGTACAAAGTGGTCTCAAACTTTTGGCCGGCAGTGTACATCAGTTGTCAAGTTTAGGGCCACTTAATGTCCTTGTATTGACATGTTATAAAACATTTAAAAAATTATAATAAGCTCCTTCTTTTGTTATAAAATAAACTAAACTGTATCAAAACTATACTTCTATACTAATATTATAAAGAGGAAAACTTTGTTTGATTGTAATGGGCCGATAATAAAAATTATTCCAATGAGAAAGGTAACATTTCTGTGAGTGACATAGGTAATTTTTTATAATTTTTAAATCTCTGGTAGTATGATGGTTCTGTCTAAGTTGTTTGTATTGTATTTGGTACTTTCCCCGTGCACGTGGTAGCTGTAGTATACGTGCGGCTGTACATCCGGCGCCGATTTGCCAGCCAGACGTGACCCGGGATAAAGAACCGGCTGGCAGCCCGGCTGGCGGCCCGGCCAGTCGCTACGGTAATTGTTGTTAACTTTTGTGATTGATTCGTTACGTGGTAGAAATTGGTTAGCGTTACTCAAATATCTCAGTTAACATTACGTTATAAATAAACGGTTTTATTTCACAAAATCTTATTCTTACTAATATTATAAATGCGAAAGTTTAGATGGATGGATGGATGTTTGAGTTTGTAGCTTTAATGGCTAAATGGATCCCGATGTAATTTAGTATGGATGTGGAGGATAGTCTGGAAGAACACATAGGCTTACATACTAACTTTATTTTTTTTAATTCCATGGGGTTGCGGGAGTAAGATAGTAAAAATATGGCCTATCATTGTACTATTTCACACTTAAAAATGTTTGCTTTGTATAGATTGGCTTACGCCTGCGATTTCGTCCGAGTGGAATAAAAAAAAAACGAAGTAGTAGTCTAATTAACAGTGGTAGTGCCTGCTTTAACATCTTAGCACTTCAGGGCCGGCACGCCTGGTGTAATAACACGACCACACAGAAGACAGGCGTGAAATGGAAGCAATTTCGTGTTTCGTCTGATGAGTGTGGTGCCGGAGGCCTAATTTAAGTCCCTTTCTCTTTATCACCATTTTTCTAAAGGAGAGGATGTGAAGGGGAAGTGGATTTGACGGCGGAGGAGATGCATAGGAAGGGGAAATATCCTCTTTATATGCGTCTCATCCTCCGTCGCATAAAGGTAGACAACGCATTTGGTGGAGATGTACGAATATCACTTTATATTTCGTCTTGACTGCTAACCAAACATGCTGCTTTACACGAGGCGTTAGTGTACGTAACTAGATGCTAGCGCGGCGACACGTGCGGCCCTAATCCCATTTGGCTTTCTGGTAACATTACTAATCTTGCCCTCTTTTTTATTGATTACTTGATCTTCAACGATCCCCTACCAGCTTCTTGTTGTCATGGTCGTTCACACGAACAAGCAGTTTAGGCTACAAACTTTAACAAACATCCATCTAAATTTCGCATTTATAATATTAGTAAGATAATTCCCCAATACAATACATGGCTTCAGATTAATATCCCGTTCCATACATTTATAGAATTAATCTCTTCGCTATAAACAGTTAATTTTAAACACAATTAAGATAAAGGGACTAAAGCCTATCGTGTTAGACAGCGCGAAAGTAAGTCAGACGTACTCAACCCTTGGTAACATTGTTAAAGCGAAGGGGAGCTCCAAATTGGCGCACTCGAGATAGCAAGTTTATTAATTCAATTAATCCCAAACTGAAATTGGATGTATTAGCGCTTAATTATTCGGCACAAAGGTTGAGCGCCCCTGGCTCGTGTGGAAGACATGTTAATTAGTAACGATGTACAGGATTACTCGTGAAATTTGGAACACCTGAAATATACGCTTAAAATATTTCCCTGATAATGTTTACTATAGCAAATTAATGATAAGGCAAAATGTTTGCAAATTGTACATATACGAGTAACAAAACGTAATATAATAAACGTAATATAATAAAACGTAATATAGTAATAACAAGAGTAAAATAAGGGACTGAAACAAAAATCCCGTAAAAAGTTACAAAAAAGTCGAGCTATAAAATCAAACAATGACATCAAAAACTTCCAAACCAAATAAACGATTTTAAACGATTAAATGCAGATCAAAATTTTAGTTTCTATCTATCCCATATATTAGCGCGCGTGTGAAAATGTATAAGTCATTCTTCTATATCTATCTATACTTATATTATAAAGAAGAAAGATTTGTATTTTTGGATTTTT